ATCAGAGGCAGGTGGATGGAAAGGAGAAATCAGGCTCGGTTTGCAGCATTTGGAAGGTCAGAGCAGAAATTAGAGGTGTTCTCCCTCCAGGAAGGGCTCCTCAGCTCCCTTGCCTCCTCTCATTTCATTTCCACTTTTAGAAAAGTGCCTGGCTGAAATTCTGTCAGAGGAAAACTTCTCCCTGCTCAGTAGACAAGGGCTGGAGAGGCAGGTGGATGGAAAGGAGAAATCAGGCTCGGTTTGCAGCATTTGGAAGGTCAGAGCAGAAATTAGAGGTGTTCTCCCTCCAGGAAGGGCTCCTCAGCTCCCTTGCCTCCTCTCATTTCATTTCCACTTTTAGAAAAGTGCCTGGCTGAAATTCTGTCAGAGGAAAACTTCTCCCTGCTCAGTAGACAAGGGCTGGTGGTTGCCACCCTCTGTCTTACTCCATGTGAGGAGACTCCTTCCCAGCATAGATTGTGGGTGGGAGAAGCAGAGGGATGCTCGGCACCTCCTGCCTTTCCAGGCAGCCCCCGACTGGGGGAGCAGCTCTGCTAGTTTGTGCACATGCAAACTTTGGACCCCCATGGCAAGACTCCAGCTCTCAGGGCTGGCATCAGCCAGGTGCATTTCCTACCAGCCCAGGCAATGCTTTGCACAGCCCCCAATTAATAAAAATGAATTAAAGAAAATTGGAGCAAGAGAAAGGTCTCCCTGAAGACCCTGACTTCTTTACCATGCTGGCTTTGGTCTATGCTTGCACAGCCCTCCAACCCAGTAATCAGGTAAGGCATGAACTGGTAAATGGGGTTTTAACCCACCTGCCACTCCCAGCATATTTGTGGAGAGACATCACTGCTGCCTCTGCTCTCCAGAGAAACCTTACAGTGTAATTCTAGGAGCTGCTGGGTGGAAGCAACCCTCGTGGGATGTCCATCAGTGGCAATGGGAATAGTTCCCATCCCACAGGCTGAATGCTGGAAGTCCACCTCTAACACTGACTAGTGCATAGAAATGAAGTGTACAGCATGGTGGTTACAGGAACCACAGGATCTAGGTGTACAGAAATAAATGTGATGTCTTATTCAGCTGCTAGCTGCAGGCAGACCATGTAACCCCTCGTGACTTTGCTTTGCTAGACCTGGGTTAGCACAGCCTGCACAGAGACCTGTAGTGTAGGAGCTGGCTGGCTCAAAGGGCTGTGGAGGACCAGACCAGCCCCATCAGCAGGATCCCATCCTGCACCCAA